TTTTTAAAGATTTTTTTTATTGGGGAATTGGGATGGGAACAGTGCTGGGGAATTGGGGGAAGAGGAACAGACAAGTTGCTGTCATTTTGTTCTTCAATCTAGTTGTGGAGGACGTTGCTTCACTGGCTCAAGTTGGCACCATCATTGCGCTCTTCCTGGGCGAGGCAGATCAGTCGCTGGCTTCTGGACGGCCGCTCACTGCGGCTGCTGGCCGCTCACGCTGGCTGCTGGCCGCACACGCTGGCTGCTGGCTACACATGGTAGCCCATGGCAACCCACTGCAGCAGGGGTTGCAGCCTACGCCGTCGCGGGCAACTCAAGGCAGCCCAGCTCCAGGTTGAGCTGTTGTTCAGCATCTTAGCTGTAGAGGGCAGTGTCACTGGCCCTCATGTGGGATCCAAACTGGGGCCTTCTGGCATCCCAAGCCAGCTCTTAACCATCGCGCCACTCCGCTGGCCCCTCCATTTGAACATTTTTATATCCCAAGTTGTTTTCATCTTGCTTAATACATAAACACATATTTCTTTTAAAAATTGTAAAGATTGGAGGAGAAAATAAGGAAAAAAGAACAAATTAAGATGAAATAAATATAAGCTAGCAGAAATTATAACTTATACAGAAGAGCGAAATCAGAAAGAGAAAGAGACCAAATATATTTTGTGATGTTTACTTTAGCTTACAAAACATATAATAATAACAAAAACTAATGTCGATGTAGTATTTTTTAAATGAGAAAATATTAAGTATAAATTGTTTGTAGCTATTTTAATTCTTTTTTATATTTATTTCACAGGCAGTTACCTCTGAAAGATACCTTTATATGTTTCAACCTTCTTCACACTATTGTGTTTTAGAGAAAAAAAACAAAAGTCTTTCCTGTATGCTATAGATGTTAAAGTCACACAATTTTATTCCTCTAAGCATTTTAATCATCCTTCTTCTTTCTCACGTTCCTGTGGAGTTGGCTGGGTCCCTCTATTTTGGAAGAAGGTATATCTGATACTATGCTTGTAATAGTCTAGTTACTAAGATCTGTAGGTGAAGGTAAGATATTAAATACGTTGGTTGAGTTTTGTTCATGTAGAGCCTATCATTATGGAATAGAATTCAAGAATTTGACTTTCTCCTGTTTTTTCTGCAATTTCAACTGAATCATAGAAATTGGGAATGAAATTTCGTCCTGCTTTTTCTCTCCTGATCAGGCTCTTTTTCACCTGTGGGAGTTGGAAATATCTGAGTGTTTTCCTTTTGTGAAATTATGATGTAAATGAATGCTTTTGTTTTGTTAATGACAGTATAAATGTGTACAATGAATTTACTCTTAAGGAGGTAGATCTGAAACAAAGTCAATTTTAATTTTTCTGGGAGTTATTTTCAAACAGATTTTTAAATCAAACAAACGTTTCTAATAAACAGAAGAAGTGGTCTTTTAACCTTACTAATAAAGAAGTTAAAAAAAAGAAAACCCTCATAGAAATAAGACTATAACTTCAAAAGCTCACAATTCTTACAATTCCCACCTCCAGACACATGATTTGCAAATATTGTCTCCCGTTCTATGGATTGTCTTTTCACTTTGATGGTGTCTTTTGAAATACAAAAGTTTACAGTTTTGATGTTTCAATTTGTCTATTTTTTTCTTTTATTGCATATGATTTTGGTGATATAGCTAGGAAGGAATTTATTCAAGGCCATGAAGTTTTATAGTTTAATTCTTATATTTAGGTCTATCATACATTTTGAATTAATTTTTGTATGTGCTGTAATATAGGAGTACACCTTTATTCTTTTGCATGTGGATATCTGGTTGGACCCAGCAACATGTGTTGAAAATATTTTTCTATCCCCATTGAATTTTATTGATACCCCTGTTGAAGTGAATTGATCATTCTTATAAGGGTTTATTTTTGCACTCTCAGTTTTATTCTGTTGGTCAGTGTGGCTATTTTTATACCAGTATCACACTCTATTGATTACTATAGATTTGTACCAAGTTTTGAAATTTGGAAGTGTGAGTCTGCCAACTTTGTTTTTTATTTTTACATGTCAAACCTTGCATTTCTGGGATAAATCTCACTTTGTCATGGTGTATCATCCTTTTCATATGTTCATATGTGGCAGGTATCAGTTTGCTTGTTTTTTGTTAAGGATTTTTGCATTTATATTCATAAGATGTTGGTCTATTGTTTTCTTTTCTTGTGATGTCTTTTGTCTGGTTTTGATATCAGCAATAGTGGCCTTGTAGAATGAGTTGGGAAGTGTTCTCTCCTCTTGTATTTTGTGGAAGAGTTTGTAATCTTTAAGTGTACTTATTTTGATTATTTATGGCTTCCTTTATAGTTTACCTTTTGCTATTGTTAAAATGCAGGTGGGGCTTGTCAATGGTGGCAGGAAGGTGGTATTTATGGTGATCATTCCCTGTAGGACAATTGACAGTGAAAGCACAAGACTCCAAATAAAACTGTCAAATCTTCATTCTGCCCACTTCTACTAAACAGTGCTAGGTACTCCACCTCTGGGGAACATGCTTAATTGCAGAAACCAATTATAAGCCTTTTATATTTTGAATTCAGAACCACAGTTGGAAGATGTCTTTCAGTGACATTTCCCTCATTGGAGTCATGGTACATGCCTGGCTCACTGTCCTCACTTTAAGAACTCTTGCCTGTAACTTATTAGTACACATTTGTTTAGAAAAATTATTTAAAGAGACTATTAAGAAGTGTTATACTGACCTCCTCTTGAGTAAGAGAGTCTAAGAACAAGGAGAGTTTGTTGAATCTTAGACATCACGTAAGGTAATATGAATAATAAATATTTAGATTGTCTTCTTACATGTTTTAAAGTACTTTTGGTCATTAATCACTCAACCAACTCAGTGGGAAAAATTAGCACTGAAGAAATAATAACAACTAATGTTTACTAAATAATTACTATGTGCCAAACGCTGTTTTAAATCCTTTACATATGCTATCTCTTTCATTCCTCATACCGTGTTTCCCCGAAAATAAGACGGGGTCTTATATTAATTTTTGCTCCAACAATCTACATTAATTCATTTATTTATGTACAAAAATCTACCTTTATTCAAACAGTCATGTCTGGCTGATGATCTTAACTGGGGCTTGTGTTTGGGGTAGGGCTTATATTACGAGCATCCTGAAAAATCATGCTAGGGCTTATTTTCCGGTTAGGTCTTATTTTGGGGGAAACACGGTAGTAGTCTTATGAGGTCAATACTAATATTACTCTCTACTTTACAGATGTGGAAACTCAGAAACAGAGAGATAGTCTAAGTTGCTTGGTGTCATGCAGGTAGCAAATGGTAGAGCCAGGATTTGACCTAGGTTAAGTGACTCGGTAGCCTGCCCTGAACCAGAAGTTAGAGTAGATTAAGCATATTCCAGAGCAGGAATTTAGATGCAGCGTTTCTGTATTACAGTTTTTGAGTTTATAAGTCATTTTCTCTCTTGATGAAGAATAACATGTTCAGTAAACATTTAATAAATATTCATAAAAGGTGTACTCAGAAGGTACTAAGGACTTGAGATTAGACAGTCTCCGCAGGGGTTATGTAATAAGCAAGTTAATAAAATAAAATTTTAGCACTTATTGAGTGCTTACTATGTTCCAGGGTTAGTGATTTACTTGTATAAATTAATTGATCTGTAAAATAACTCTGTCGAATAGGTATTACTATTATCACTTCAATTTATAGGTGAAGCCATTGAAGCAAAGGTGTATAACTTGCCCAACATCAATTAGCAATAAGTGGCAGAGCCCAGGTTTGAACTCAGACCGTTTTTTGCGCTTGAGCCTGTTCTTAATCATTTTACTCTGCCGTTTCTCTACATAAGGACTCACCTGATGTGTGGTCACAACAATACAGTCACACCACACAAACAATAATAATAATGAGTCATTGTGTTTATGCATGTGGAGGTTGGAGTCACTTCTATAGAAGAGAAATGTATTGTGGCTGAAGGGAGAAAAGCTTTTCTGTAAATATGAGATGACTTGAAACAAATATGGAAATATGAAAAGAAAAATTAATTTTAAAAGGGAGGCTATTAGCTTGTGCTTTGGCAGAATATAGCAATAGACCAATAGGATGTAGTGTACAATCAGAAGCTGTGCCTGCGTGTTTCTGAGGGAGCTGTGGTCTGGGAGGGTTCGGAGTTGCACCACAAGGGCTAAACAGGACAGTTTGAAAGAACAATTTTAGAAAATGAGTTTGATAAACTCAATTAGCACATGGAGGTTGAGTCAATAGTAGATTAATATAAACTTCAATTATAAACGTTTCTAGTAATGTAAGAAGCATCTGGAAATTAGCAGGAAAGAGTTGACAAGGTAGGGTAATGTTTCTCCTTTAGTACCACAATTTTTATAGCTTTCTTTTTCTTATAGTAGTACAATGAGGGACCTGGGTTTATGCAGCACTTTTCTTCATGGAACACAAACACTTCCCATTGTCCTACAGTTTTCCTGCAGAGTGTTCTACCACCAATTCAAGGCTACATATTTGGACCTCTGTGTTTGGGTGGTAAGAGAGTTTCCCCAGAGCCAGTTAGTGACCGGAGAGCTTGGTCCATCTGGGCAGCTTTCTTCCAGATGTGCGGGCCTTCTGATCTGAAGCCTTGATGGACTTCAGAGCCCCCTTTGTCTTCTCAAACCCGCGTGTTCACCTCTTGGTCATGAATGCACTCTTAATGTCCTTCCAAGTTTGAGGCAACTTGCAACTTTAAAGGATCATCCAAATTATCAGAATAAATTCCATGTAGTATTTTCAATGCAATGAATATTAATTGAACTTTCTAAGTTATTTTTACCGAAAAGTTATGTTCATATCAAAAGCAAATAAAACAACATTGCCCACTTGTCCTATTCCTCATGCATGAACAAAGATCAGTGGAAGTCAAATGTCAAATAAAGACACTTCAAAAAACACTTGTGGTTTATTTCTACTTTTAAGGTAACCTGTGGCATATTTTCTCAAGTCCTCACACAGGTGTTCAGGAATACCAGGACGGTGTGCCAAAGATCCCAACAGCCTGTATTACAGTGGAAGATGCAGAAATGATGTCAAGAATGGTTTCTCGTGGGAGCAGAATTGTCATTCAGCTGAAGATGGGGGCAAAGAACTACCCAGATGTTGATTCCTTCAACACTGTAGCAGAAATCATTGGTGGCAAGTATCCGGAGCAGGTAAGTGAAGGCCATAGGTTGTCTAGGAATAGGGAGTGTGGTCAAGAGAGAACAAGAGTCTGCAGAGATGTTCCTTGTGGACTCATCAATCATAGACGTTCCAAATATGTTTTTTTCCCATCAAACGTTTGAGTATATTGACTGAAGAAAGGCAGGACTAATTCAAGTGTGGAATGGGGTCCCATGGTTTGGAAATTCAACCTCTGAAGAGCTGTGGACAATATTTGTATATATGTGCTGTATTTATTCCACTTGGAACCAGCTCGGCATTTAAGATCATACCAATAGCTAATAGTTATTGTGCTTATTATGTGAATTACCTTATTTGGTCCTTTCAAAGCTCAGTGAAGTAGGATCTATTTTCTTTTATAGGTGAGGAAGCTAGTGTGTAGGGACTAAGGTCCACACAACCAGTCAGTGGCTGAGAAGGGGCCCAAACTCAGGACCTTATAAATAGTAAAGTGAGCTTTAAACTACAGTTTATGTGCAATTTCCAGAGACTTTTGTAGCCAAATTTGAAAATCAAATAGTCCAAGAGGCAGGTCTAGACTGTATGCTAACTGAAGGTTAAATAATTTTGGCAAGTTACTTATTTACTGAGTCTCAGAGAGCATATATGCTAGGAAAGAGATGGTATTAATAACTAACAGGACTATTATGGGGACTAGATTACATAATGAAAATCAAATAGCCTAGTATAACGTTTGACACATCATAGGTGCTCACTGAATGTGAGTTTACTTCATATGACATTAAGTGTACAAAAAAGTTTTTCTAAGGCTTCTGGTGCAAATTTACTTTATAAGTAGTTATTGAAATTCTGAAAATAGCTTAACATGATTTTAAACTTATATAAAATAGCTTATTTTAATAACTGAAAATAAGGTTATTCAGGAATGTCAGACATGTATTTTGTTTAAGGAGATTATGAGATGGAGGTAAAAGCAAATAGTGATGGAGTGTGGTGATAGAGAAACAAACCTTTTGCACATGTGTTGAGTCAGGACCTCCCCAATACTTGTTTTATGTTCAGGACCTTTTTCTGCTTTTCCAAATTACCTGCTTCCAGGACCTGGGCATGCATGCATCGACCTTGGGATTATAGCTATAGGGATAATGGAAAAGCAAGATGTCAGTAGGCCCATAGGGAATCAGATAGCTATAGAGAAACTGTAGCTTCAGATATTGAGAAAACAAACAAACAAACACGCCCACGCCCCCCCCACGCCCCTTTAGGAAGCTGGTAACAACAGAAGAGCCAAGAGTCTATATTCCAGGTACTGAATAGTCAGACTCCTTAAAGTGTAATCTTCCCCAGTGTTTTCCCCAGACAGCAGCTCCAGGATAAAAGTGTTGCTGTTTTAGGGTTGTTAGTCCAGGATGGGAGGGGTTAGGATTATATATTATCAGTTGTCTGGGTGAGCAGGCTGCTTCTCCCCTGAGGGTGTGTGGCAGGGTGAGTGTGAGTCACTGGGAGCCTTACTCTGAGGCAGTGGGGGGGTATCATGGTCTGAGGCTAATGCTTTGAGGCAGAGGCATTCTCAGGACTGCAGCAGCCAGAAAGCTCAGACAGCTTCTGTGGGCCACTGGCGTCTTCCTGCTGGGAACCCGTGGGCCTACTCCTTAGCCCAGCCTGATTATTAAAACAGATTAGCTTTATTGAGGTAGAATCTATATAATGTAAACTTACCAAATTTAAGTGTACAATTTGATGAGTTTTGAAAAATGCGTAGTTATGTCACCATTTACTGCAATCATAACCTAGATTATTTCCATCACCCCAGACATCCTTTGTGCCCCTTTGTGATCTCTCTCTTCCTTCACTCCCCTACACCCTGGAAACTACTGACCTGCTTTCTGGAGCTATAGTTTTTTTCTTTTCTAGAATTCCATATAACTGGAATCATAGAACGTGTAGTCTTTTGTGTCTGGTTTTTTCACTCAACGTAATGCTTTTGGGATTTATCCATGTTGAGTCAGTTGTCCATTCCTTATAGTTTTGAGTAATATTTCACTGTATGGATGCGCCACAATTTGTTTATTTATTCGGCAGTTGTTGGACATTTGGGTGTTTTCCGGTTTTTGACTGTTATGAGTGAAGCTCTGTGAATATTCTTGTGCAAGTCTTTCTGACATATGTGTTCATTTCTCTTTGGATAAATGCCTAGGAGTGAAATTGCTGGGCTATCTTGAATTTTAAACACTGATCTCTGTCAAGATGCTTCAATCTCTATTCTGTGGCAGTAACACCTTCTCGAGGTGAGGAGAGTCCAGAGAGGTCCTAGGACTGAGGATTAAACTTTTACCTCTATCATAGTGTTGCAGAGCATTGCAAAATTTGGGCATAAATACCTTGTTACCAAGATGTAAACAGGGAGAAGATTAACAAAAGTTCCCTCACAATGAAGTCACAGCATTATGCGCAGAGAAGGAGTGTAGATGAGTGCAGTGAAGTCCGTGTGGCTGTGTTTTGGGGGGACTTTGTGTTATAGCCTACCTGGAACCACAGGGGAGGTCCAGACGGTGAAGGGATGTGGCAAGCATGTGTTCCCCACTCTAGATGTTAGGCGACTTAATGAACTAAGTAAGCATACCCCATCCCTGATAAATGCCATGCCCCCCCCCGTGCAGCCCCCTCTGGTGACCCTCCCCTCATCTCAACACTTTATGCCGTTATTATGGTGTTATCTCCCACCAGACCTTGCAAATACCCTGAGCAGACACTCTGTTTATTTCTGTTCATTGCTTTTTTTGTTTTCTTTTTTCAGTAGTTCCTGCCCCAGGGCTTGGCATGCATAGCTTCTGAGCACATTTTGTTCAGTAAGATGAAGAGAGGAAGTAAAGGAGAAAATGGTTTTAGGATTTTCTTTATCTTGATTTTCTTTAAGTCTAGAAGTTTTCCTGCCCATTTAGAACACTGATTGTCCATTTGCATGTTGGACATGGGTCCTAAATGCAGCTCTGTATGTCCAATGCTGACCACCTTAACTCCTTCATACCTGACTCCTCACCTTAGTTACTGGTCTCTGTTAAAGGAACCATATCTACCTCTCAGCACAGTTAAGAAACTTCAAATTGTTTTTCATTCTGTCTTCTTTATCACTGTCCTACAGCCAGGCACTACATCCTATGTAGTCCACTTTCAGCATATTAAAATAAAATCTATTACAGCCTTGCCTTTACTGCTATTATTGTCCTAATTCGGGCCCTTACTATTTCCCTCCTGATTATTTTTCTTCTGATCTCCCCCACTTCTGTATTTTTGCAATGCAGCTCAGGGTTATCTTTTAAAACACTGATCTCCATGTGGTGTTTCCCTGTTGTCAAGCCCTTTCTCCTGTTTCCTATAGGATAAGGATTATGATAAAGAAAAAGTCGAGAACCATATGACTTCACTGATATGTGGGATATAAAACTGAAAGCAACAAAGGAATAAGACAAACAAAGAAAGAAACAAAACTCACAGACGCAGACAATAGTTTAGCAGTTACCAGAGGGTAAGGGGGGAGGGGGAATGGTAAAAGAGGGTAAAGGGGGTCAAATACATGGTGATGGAAGGAGATGATCCTGGGTGGTGAACACACAATGTGATACATAGGTGATGGATTACAGAATTGTACACCTGAAAACTATGTAATTTTACTAACCATTGTCACCCCAATACATTTTAATTTAAAAAAAAGGTTATGATGAAGATAAATGTTGGCGTGAGTTATCAGAAGTAAGCAAAAGACAGAGGAAGAGAGAAGGGAGTGAATCAAATGGGATTCATATATTAATAAATAAGCAGAAAACAAGAGTGAGGAAAAAGGGAAAGGAAATGTCTGATGGAGATTCAGATACCAAGAATTGATCTTTCATTGGCTGATACAGGAGTTCAACTCTCCTAAATTCTGGCAAACTTTTCTAAGGTCATTCAACTTTATTTTTAATTTTCAGTAACGCTGACAGTGATGTAACATTGGTCTTGACAGTTTAGGTTGACTAACTTAACCCCTGACACATCCTTGCTACTCCCTTGCTCCATACCATACTAAAGAATAGTGCTAAATAACGCTGAGCAAATTAGTTGCAGTGGAAACCGTCGCTAAAAAAGAAGAGGTTATATTGAAATTATCATTATTCTGCCTGCAAGTCGAACATCCTGGGTGACTTGAAGGTGGGCTAATACGCAGTGTCTGATCAACAATATTCTGCACTACCACCCAGCATCACCCATTACAGGTCATTATTCATGCAAACACCTTAATGAAAGGAAGGCAATTAGCACAGAAAGAATCCTTTTGATTTGGTCCAAGAACCGTGGACAAGGTGTGGTGAATTCAGCTCTGGAAAAGTGTATATGTGTTCGATGAAGCATTAACACATTTCAAAACCCTATTGCACAATCAAGCCATAAGCCTGGACTGAATTAACCACAGGCTTTTAGAAATGCCAATAATACAAAAACTTTGTTGGGTTTCAATATGTGAAAATGGCAGAGTAAGGAGTATTATACACATTAACCCTACCCTTTCCTTGAAGAACCCATAGTGACATGTTTTGGCTCCAAGCCCCAGTTCTCCACTTTGACCTATTCAGAAACTGTTCCTTTGTGATTTGGGCATATTCTAGAGGGTTCAGCAGACCTTGAACAATTTGAGGGGATGCATTTCATTGGGAGAAAACAGTCTACTGGTTGCTCTGACATTAGGCCTCTAAACTCCTTTCTTTCAGCTTTATCCCTGGGAAACCATCACATCTTTGAGGCCCATCCATGGTTGAGGATGAGTCTGAGAGTTGTGAGAAGGATAGCTCTTTGACTTCGGAGCTGATGGTTCCTGGTGCTAAAATAGCAATATTATTTCTACCCCCATTCATGAAGGAACTAGCTTGCATTGGAAAATTCATAGGAAACTTGTTGCCATCCATGAATAGGTTTTATTTTGTATTAAATCAATAGAGGTTAGCTTAACACTTAAAATAGTTTTAAACAGAGACAGAGACAGAGGTAGGGGCCT